TTCACTAACAATCCGCTAGATAGCATTGACCTATTTGGTGACCTATTTGGTTATTTCTGAATCGCGATGTGTAATGTAACTACTCTAACACAATTTTGTTAACGTGAAGAGAAATCTGAGAACACCGAGAGCTCACTTGGGCTAATCAGGAGTTGAGTCCCTTCTTGGGAACTGCTACCCGGACCTTCCGCTTATACGGTGAAATTGCATTGGCGTCGTACAAGGTGAAAATACTTTCACTTGGCATATATATGAAACTGCGTAAAAAGCTGCGTAACCTCATCCCACGGTAGAGAGAGATCTCCTCCTCCCTCCTTTACAAATTTTAATAGCAGAAATATCACACTTTCAAAAATAAAGTGACACAATTTGAAAAGTAACATTTTTGGGAAACAAAATAAATTTAAAAAGTTTCAAATTAAACTACTCAAGGTTACGCGATAAATGCGTGCGTGCGCTCATACAAGTCTTTCATTTATGAGCATTCGGAACCGCACGACTGCACACGGCGGGCAACGTTATTTTCACTTCTCTGAGCGTGTGCTTAAGATCTTTTTTCCTCGCAATGAGCGCCTGGTGTCATTAGTCAAATTTAGTAAGCTATTATAGCGTACGTATTTTCAATTTTGTATAAGTGATGTATCTGTCACGTAGTAACTATTATGTAATCTGTGGCAGATGTCAATAATTCGTTTTTAAACTCAAACTCCAATAATCTTTATTTCATAGGAAGGTAAATTACAGTTGAAATCGCCACAACACTCATTTGTTTTGTTAAAGAGTTCGTCCAGGGAATTACTGCCACCTTACCTATTTCTGCCGCTAAGCAGTAATGTCAGCATTACTGCGTTTCGGCTATGAAGGGTAAGGGTGTTGGTGTAATTACAGGCACATGGGACTTGTCAACTTATGTCTCAGGGTAACGGGCGCAGTGGCAGTATCCCTCAGATGTGCGGTTAAACTCTGAGTGGCACTGCAACTGTTATGGACAGGCGTGTCGCACCAGGCGCCCGACTAGTTTGATATCAACGCTTAATATCATAAAAAAGAAGAGATTCCCCTGAGGAGAATGAGCAAAACACTCTAGAGATTTCTCTTTGTAAAAAATCATTTGTGTACATTTATCATTTACGATATTTATTTCAAATAGCGTAAGATCGAAACGCTAAACGGGTCATTATCCTATGGTAATACTCTATACTATTGCTCTACAAGTACGCAGAAGCTGTATAACATAACCTTTAGTGTAAACCAAAACATCTAATATTTACGCTAACAATATAATATCTTCTCATTTACCTATTTTTCCTTGAGTATATTGCTAAAAAGCGACTATAAGACCGTCGAAAACAAAATGTCAGTTACATTTTTCGTTTTTTTTTTAATTTCATTTCGTTCCGTCATAAATAAAAAATAACGTTTGAATTAAAATTTAATATAATGTTTTTCATATAAAAATATAGTTTATATTTTGTGTATTTCTCAAAATAGACTTTTTGTATTTAGTTATTTTATTATTAATAGTCCATGCAACCTCAAATGGCTTACATCAATCACTGTGGAAAAAATATATACTAAAATTTAGGATTGATTACTATAAGGTGTGAAGATACGATTCCTAAAAATATTCAAGATAGAAATAAGACACTAACTTACCTCGAAATTTTACAAGAAAACAGCTCTATTCAATAGGTACGTTACAAACACCAATGATTTTTTTATATCAACTGAACTAAATAGAGTACGTATAGTATACGACACACATTTTTCAAAAGGCTTTGATTTCGTTAGTAAAATAATAAATTCCGAAATAAAACGAGCTAAGGTAGTATCGACCCTTAAGCATATGATAAGTAGGCATTATGGACCCGCGATAGAAATAGCAGCAGTTATAAATACTATTCTAAGTACATATTTGTATCTGTCACACATGTTAAACGTTTTTAATAAAAACCATATCTATCTGTTCAAATAATATTGATCAAACATAATATTATCAGGTAAGCAACAGATAAACTGGTGATTTAGTAGACAAATATAACGGTTGAAGAGATCTTCTGGTGTTTTATTATGTTAAAAATAACTTCTTAATATTGGTACAAATATTACTTAAATACACATGTGTTGAGAAGTCGTGTTATAGATGAATAAAAATCTTGTATAGAATTTATTCGTCGGAGTCCGATATCAATTCAAACGTAATGTAACAGAATTTGGTTTATTGGTTACGTAATGTGCTTTACAAAAGGGCAAATCTTCAAGTCACAAGAAGAACTTTCAAGCAGAAGCTGCAAGAGTATCTTTTAAATATGCAAAAATTGGAAATATAAGTGGCTAAGGTGTTTGAGAAAAAATAAATAAAATGGATGAAATTAAATTAGATTGAATTGAGTTAAATTGAATTGGTTAGAATTTGAATTGAATTAAATTAGTTTTGTTTTGGGTGTTTACGAGTGGCGTCCCTGTCCCTATAGGGTCCAGCGTCGCGGGCAGCCGCGTCATTTATGCTGAGTCAGCGGCTTTTCATTGCCATGGCTTCCAAGAGAGATATTAGTAGAATATATTACTGTGTTACGTCTAAGTTAATGTCTATATCGTGTGTCTGTGTATGTATTTGTCATGGTGGTGAATAAAGATTTTATCTATCTATCTATCTATGTAAATCTTAGTTAATATGATTAGGCGTTGTTTTCTAATTATTAGAGAAACAATTTACTAAACTATCGACAAATCGCATTAATTAGTCTCGATCATAGTTACTTTGTTTCCAAATGGCACATCAGTTTAACAATTCAAACTGTGAGAAATCGCAGAAGAGGTGACGCTGATGTAGTTTGTATCCAGTCATAAGACGTGGTCCTATGGCACGATAGTCATTGACAAGAGTTGCCATATGAAAATAAGAAATGGTTTATGCTTTATAAATGAGCGCGCATTGTCAAGATAAACTTTTTATATAAGTTACTTGGAAAGTGAACAAACGTGGCCGCTCCCTGTGAACTCGCACGTGACCTTTAAAATCCATTTTAACTTGATGCATCTTTTGTACTTTTAAACTATTTACTGTGAAAAGTATTATATGAATTAATTGCAATCAACTGACGTTATTATTTCACCGTCGGCTGAACAAATTGAGAACGAAGAGTGAATAGGCCAATTCACGAACTTTTCTTATTTAATTTTGATGTCAATACAATGAAGTCAGGTAAAATATGACCAGTTTATTCAAAACACCGTTACCAGGTACAGTTAGCAGATTACAAAACTTAGTCAAGTAAACAATGACTACAATGATATCTTTAAAAGAAGAACAAAAGCCTTTCTAAATGTAAAGCCACATGTAAATGGAAAGCAAAGTGTTCCCCAGGGTGGAATACGCATAATACATAAAGTCTTATGCTAAACAACAAACTTCCTGCCCGACTTTGTTTACAATACAGATTCAAACGATAGGAAGAAAAGGGAAAGGGTTGAGTTCTAGAAATTTATTATCATATTGCGGCTGTTTTTATGAACGTATAGTTATGTTGTACTAATGTTTATATTTATGGACACCTGCCCCCGTACCATGCAGCTGAGATACAGCTATTATATCCACATTTAGCTGTCAAATTCGATTGATAAAATCGTTATTATAAAATTTTAAATAGCTAACATGGCGAGCACCGTAATGTCAGATTTTTTACGCGTCGCGAGTCGCGAGCGCCTCGTCCAATTGTAAAACGTAAAAAAATCATATCATGAGTGCGTCGTGCAAGTCACAGTGGTAAAAGGTGGAGCTATCTATACGTCGTCCGTGTTTTGTAGAAAAGGCTCTGGCTTAGATCCCGTTTCAATTTTAAAACAAAAATCTTAATTAGAACCAAGTTTTAATTGTAAAACAGGACATAAACATTTCAAAACAGTCGTTAAAACCAAAAACCTGTACCCCTGTAAAATCTACGAAATGTCACGTACGCCCTTTCTCCGGCACCCAAAACACACATGACGTGCAAATGGGTAAAGAAATAGCGACATTTGGAGGTGGTAGTGCTACGAGATAAATCACAGATCGCTTACTATTGGATTTAAAATAGTGGCTCAGATATTGGCCGTTTAACGTTTAAAATTTTAGCCGTTTAAAAAACATCAATTCCGTATGGTCAAAGCGGTATGGCATACAAATAGGTAACATTTGTACGCCATACCGCTTTGTTTCAAACTAGGGAATTCACTGTACGATGAATACTAGGGTAACAGAATTCACGGGGCACTTTAAAACACCCAAATGTCCAATCCAGAACCGATTAAAAAACCAAAAACATTTCCCAAATTGATGCAAACCGTTGTGTCAATTGAACAAAACACGTTAAGCATTAAGCACGGTTGCGTGTTGTTTCTAATATAACTAAGTGACCTATACAATATTATGGTATGGTGCATAGACCAATCCCCTTTCATTGGAGACAATTTGATATCAGGTAAAAGCGAGCCACCAAAGGATCAAATGTTTTAAGTATTTATTTAAATGACGATCGTATGAAAAATACACGATAAACCTAAGGATATGGTCTAAAGAATGTGCTAATTTATTACACGATAGGATGTTCTTTACCTGAGCATATAAAATTCTGAAAATCAGCTTAAATAAATACCTAAATAGAGTTATTTGAGACTAAAATATTTAACTTTACTCACAATTTTTATATGGAGATATTTCTCTCTAAGTACTACAGAGAACCTAAATGTTAAATTTAAATTTAAAAAATTGTAGTTTTCAACTGGAGCCGAAAACTTGAAAATTGACCAGCGGTTTATGGATACGCCGCGACGCCCGCTGCCACGTCAGTCACCATTAGGGAGCTCGTCAACGTCGGATTTGTATCAAATTTTCACCGCCAGTTTTTATATAATCATATTATTTTTTGCGCGTGGATTGCGGAACGCGCGGGCGACTCACTATACCTCACCCCCTAAAATACCTCTCGTTAAGATGTTTTTGAAGGTGAATCAGGTGTTACCTTGATAAAAGCAACGGCCAAGTCCTGAGGCCCGGCTGCGGCGGCTGGCCTCAAAGTGAGGGCGTAGTCACCGGCTTGCCCGAACAACTCGCAGCGAAGTGTCATTGTTCTTCTGCCAGGAAACGCGTGCATCTACGGGATATTATAAATTGTGTATAAAATTGTATTAAAAATGTGTACAAAAATTCAGAAAATACAAAATGTTTTTTTTAATGGGACAATATGGGGAAATCCAAAACCATAGACGATACAAGGAAACAGCTTTAAGAATCGTTGTCTTTTAAAAAAAAATTTTGGCATCAATAGATCAATTTTTTTTTATGCTGATCGACTCAGTTTCATGTAAGGATCATATTTCATTGTAATGGATGAAAAAAATCGGGACGGCAGAAATTTGTCAAATTTAATCGAAGGTTTTTTCATACATAAAACATAAAACTAAGTATATCAGCACTGAAAAAAAATTAGTCAATTTCATTTTTACGGACAATTCACGCTTAACCAAAAAAATTACTGCCAAAATCGTTTTCACAAGAAAAGGCTTAAAGGTTCCTTAGACAGTTTCCTTGTACTGTCTATGGTTTCGGATTTCCCCATACTGTCACATTTAAAAATAACACTGAATAATCGTGTATTGATTATATTTAATTAGATGAATGTAGGTATTTAAGAATGGATGAATATCCAGGTAGTGTTGATATTAAGTCGCGTATAAAGTTTTTAATTGTTTTATGAGGTACCTATCAAAAATATATGAAACGATCGAACGTACCATTGGTATAATAATTCCACGTGTTGTCAAAAGTTATATCACATGAAAGTCGTAAAAGTGGTACGAACTACATGAAAAAAATTATGGACATTGTGAACTTTCATAACTCTCCTATTTAATCATAATAAACTAATTTCGCTTTAAGCCTCTCTCCTGGGATCGTGTCATTTTGTAGATGTGACTTTATTACACCAATGGTGCGAATTATGCAAAAGAAATTTTCATTTCAAAGAAACACAATACCTACCTGTTCAGAATATAAAACATGAGCATGCGAACTGGAATTCTTGCCATCACATAGCACGGCACCGCCACTTGAGTGTCCACAGTACAACAATTCCAACCAAAAGTCAGCACTTGACTCCATTGGCGTACAAACCACTTTGGGAAATTCCAAAATGGCCGTCACCTGCCTCTCTGGATACGTTTGAATCTGTTCAGGCGTTACATCCAACTTGGCTGAAGGCCACAACACGTCAAATTTCCACGATTTCACTACACTATCACCAGTTTCCATAATACTACCGTCATCTACTTCCCTCTTGACCAAGTATTTGTTAACGTCACTGTCGAGAAAATCAGTGCCGTTACTTGCACTATCATCTAAGGTGTCTTTATCTAAAATCAGTTCGAGGTAGTACATGCCACCTCTAGAGAAATAGCCACAGGGTAGGGTCATGTGGCCTTCGGCGTCTAGTGCTAAAGGCATGGCGGCAAGAAGGGCGCGGCCGTCGTCGTCTTCGCGAGCGAGCCGCACGCGCAGCAGCCCTCGCGCGCCCTGCACGCGCACTCGCACATCCCCCCCGAGGGCGACGAGGGAAGGGGGAATATCCACCCATACTTCGTTGAGGTCGACGCGCTCTTCACTTGGGTTGACGAAAGTGATGACACCTATGGACAAAAGATGAATTCAGTTTTTTGACAACGCTTTACGTCAGACAGGGTTGACTGACATAGAGTCTAAAGCCGAAATACGTATGTAAATACTTATGTACGTAAGTGTGATAAAACTCGTAATTGTAAAACTTTGGACCTGAGACGGATTTTAACTAATTACTGGAGAAAATTTAGGCTTGGAAGAGCTTTTACAGATGCATTTATTACCTTGAATAATGGAAATTGTTTGGCTATTATTATCTGAAAGAAAAATATCGTGACAAAATATATAAGAAAAGAAAAATACAAATGATTGACCGACACGCCTATCAACTGGGTCTATGATTCAACTACAGAGGATTATGAAACGCATTGCCCTCGTCACCCAAAAAAAGTGGATAATTAATTAAAATACGTAATTTGTAAGATCAGCACAACACACAAACCACAAATTATAAGAAACCTACATTCCAATGTACCTATTACCAACTATTATAAGTATTATTATTATTAGTATCCAATGCTGCGGACCGATATTGCCCGATTTTCGCTATGCATTGATTAATGCACCGCTACAGACGCGTCTGCGTTACCACCGAGGAGCCGCTTTCCTTGTTGTGCAGATGCTAGCTCGTAGGAGGTGATCGGTAAATTAATGGACCATGGAAAGCCGCCGTAAGCTTAACAATGACCTAATATCAGGTTAAGATTTTGATGAATATTCTGAAGATAAATCGTGTCTATATACATACATAGGGCGCACTATAAGTTTCAGAAACTGGCCACTTACATAAACAATATTTAAAAGGTAATAACAACATTTGAAAAAAGAACTCTTTGGCTGTAGAATACAGTTTGTTTCAACTGACTGTCACTTGTTTTTATATTGTGGCGTCATTTTCGTGAAAATTTTTGTAGTATGACTTTCTACGACTTTAAGTGTAAACGAACAGCTCAGCGGAGCTTCGCTCGGCTTCAAACTGATTTTGGCGATGAAGCACCATGCAAAATGATTATTTATAGCTGGTTTGCAGAATTCAAACGCGGTCGTGTGAATCTCAGTGACGAATTTCTTTCTTCACTGCTGTGAACAACAAAAACATCGATGCTGTGCGCCGTATGATCAAAACAGATAGGCATGTGACATACCATGAGATTCGGGCATCTTTAGGCATAGGCATGAGTCAAATACAATCAATACTATAAACATTTGGGTGTGAAAAAACTGTGCTATCGGTGGATCCCACACAATTTGACTGAGGCTCAAAAAACGGATCGCGTCACTTGGTGCAATGCCATGCTTACCAGATTCAATGAAGGGGCGTCAAATTTGGTATGGGATATAGTAACAGGTGACGAAACATGGATTTGTAGTTACGAACCCAAAACAAAGCAGCAATCGAGCGCATGGGTCTTTCGAGATGAGCCGAAATCAACCAAAGTGGCGCGCGTATAAAGTGTCGGAAGATTATAGTGTGTCGGAAGATTATAAGGAGGTGAAGAAGGGACGACCTCGTGCAGCTCTGAGTTGTGTCACACGTGGAACTTCCGACGTACGCTGTGCCGGGCTCGAGGCTTCTGAATAGCTAAGACACATTCACCTGTTCTACGTCAAACCAGCCACAACAGAAGAGCAAGTGAAGTCGTACGTAAAATCAGTCATTGGCTCTGATAACATTAAAGTGGAGCGTCTGAAATCCCGAGGTCAATATGCGTCTTTCAAATTAGCCGTCCCTTCATCCTCATAAGAACAAATAATGCCACCTGAATGCTGGCCAATGAATGTCTGCGTTAAACCTTGACAGCAGTCATTTCGCAAGAATGATGAGATATGAGAGGCACACGCAACAATCGCAGTGAAAACATATCACTGTCTTATCAAAAGAAGCGAGGCTTCCGTAGTAAAACTGCTACATTCTTGAAAAGCGTTCTCCAGTATACTACTGACATCATTGCACTATCGGAAACCTTCCTTACCAGCTCTGTATTGAATGCTGAGCTGTTTTCACCTGGATATAGAGTGTTTAGGAAAGATCGATTTGCAGACGTTGGTTGAGGAGGCGTTCTTCTAGCTGTGAAAGATCGCTATTATGTGAATATGATTACTGATGTAGACGGTTGGTCATCTAATATATATAATATGTGTGAAGTTTCTTGTATGTATCATTTATCTGCCTCCTAGTTACAAAGATGAGCAATATCTCAGCGTATTAATATGCATAGAGAACGCTGTATGTAAATTTCCGACGTATCATGTTATAATTGTTGGTGACTTTAACCTTAACTCTTGTAGTAGTAATGTTAATTATCAATTTGAGTGTTTTAAACATTTTTGTAAATTAGAACAGATTAATAATTCTTGTAATGAACATGGTGGCATTCTGGATCTTGTGCTTACGGGGCTCAGTCGTGACATGGTAATCGTTGTTGGTGACGTGGAACCACTAGTACCTATGGACCCGTACCACCCCCCTTTAGAGGTACCCATTTCAGTTCCAAAGGTCTGTGCTTCATACAAACCACGAGCAAAGTCGAAAATTGACCCACACTTGTGGAACTTTCGTAAGGCGGGCTTTTATGCACTCTACGCGTCTATAGCTGAAATAAACTGGACATATGTATTAATACAAACAGATGTCAACTTGGCCGTTGATGCATTTTATAGTGTCTTCAATGAGGCTTCGGATCAAGTAGTTCCATTTAAAAAGCAGCTTAATTCTGTGAAATGTTATTTATATCCACCATGGTATACGTCGGAATTGATTCATTCTATTAAACTAAAATACTTCAATTTAAAAAAGTTAAAATCCCAGAATATAATCGGGAAGTATACAAGTATTATAGGACTCTTGTTAAAGAATTAATAGACCGCGATTATAAAGAATATCTATTAGTTATAGAACGTGGTATAAAAAACAACATTCGGGTCAACAAATAGAGTACATGTCCAGTGGCAAAGTCGTCATAAAGCAAGACCCAGTTGATACTTTCGCTGAATACTTTGGATCAGTGTTTCATAATGATATTCCTAAATTGGATCTCGAAGAAGCATACCTTGCGAAAAACCCTTATGGAACACTTTGTGTCGGTATTTCCCATGTAGGCATCGCAAAGTTGTGGAGAGCTGCTAAACAACTCAAACCATCGTCATTAGCCGGTCGATATTCCGCCGTACATAATAATAATAATAACGCACACACTCAACATAGCCCAGCACTGGGGAAACCCTGTGTCGCGGGTGCCATGGACACATACATAGACAACCACAAATTACACCCAAACTCACGAGAGAAATAAATGTAGGCCATATAAGGGACTGCATATCGGCGCTGGAACAGCCCCTATTGCACATTTTTAACCAAGCCCTTAAATTATCCGTTTATCCCACAAGTGACCCCGATACCCAAGAATATAAACTCGACGGAGGTATTGAATCAATCTAAAAACATCTCATACATGTAATGCACGCTAGATTTACATATACTACCTATATATACCCGGATCATACGGTAAGATACTGCAATAGCAGTTGCATGCCTCTGATTGAGGACGTAGAAGACTAATTTCTAATAATAAGTTTGAGTGACCTTTCTTTTATTATATAAGACTATTAGTTCCTATTATTATTCAGAATACTTTACTAAAAATAAAAGAAATATCAAAGTTATGTTTTCAATGTTAATTTTGATTGTGTTATTGAGAACGCTACTTAAATATTTATTTATACAATTTATTACTATTATTTTTATTTCAGTATATGTCTTGAGAACCCTTACTTAATACGTATTTCCTAAAATTTAGACAACTACTTTAATTTTACAAAAAAATATCAATGAAATTCAGGCGTCATCGTAGACGTAATTATTTTCACGTCATTTGCGCCGGTTTAAAGACCGCAGGCAATTTGTGTAAATATCTGGTTTTCTTTTGGAAGTAACCTGGGCCCAACGCTATGTTCAATTATGGTAGACGACCTCAGAACATGTATTGGGGATGCACATTCTCTATTGTTTGCAGACGATCTTAAAGCAATGCACACCATAGATCAAACTTCTGATTACGAGTCACTTCAACGGGTGATCGCCGCTGTAACACAATGGAGTGCAACTAACAAGTTACCACTCAATGCACTGAAGTGAAACCATCTCTTTCACTCGATCCGGTAATCCAGTTCGCGCTAATATCACCTCTCAGGTATTCCACTCGTCCGTGTTAGTACAATTCAAGACCACATAGTTAATATCTGCAAATCTGCTTGCAGGGTGCTGGGTTTCATAATAAGGACAGCGTCTCAAGTCCGTGACCCAAATGTTGCTGCGTTGCTGTACAATGCGTACGTTCGACCCAAGCTTGAGTATAATGCTTTCGTATGGGATCCTCAAGAGGTTAAATATGCCCTAATGATCGAAAGAGTACAACGCAAGTTTGTACGGTGTCTTTATAAAAGATGGTATGGTTATTACCCATTTCTTTTTCCCTCGCTGTTTGTTACTGGGATGGTTGGTCTGGAATCCCTTGAAGGCGGAAGACTACGTTGCTTACCCATTACTGCCTACTCTTACGACACAGTATAGATAATCCTTCCGTTTTAGAAAGACTTGGTCTATTTGTGCTAGATCTTTACACTAGCACAGTCAAACGGAACGCGCACTCTACAGCGGTTGTCGTACTAGAGCAGTTGTCTTATTCAATGAGTTCCTCGCTCTTGACCAGGTTGCTGATGTGTTCGCGGATAGTTGATCGTAACTCATAGCGACTTAGTCATAGTAACTTTTATTTATTTCCAAAAATTAAGAACCAGTTACGCGTTCAACGATTTTCATCACCCGAAGAGGCTGTCGAAGAGAATGAAAAATATGTTTCAGAGATTTTCACGGAGGACTGGCATAAATGTTTTCAAAATTGGTTCATTCATATTAAAAAGAGCATTAACGCTAATGGAGAATATTTTGAGAAACAATAAATTCATTTCAGACCATTTATGGTATTTTTTTCTTACACATTCCGGCAACTTATAGTGCGCCACACGTATAAGTTTCTTTGGCGAGAGTAAAGATTTCCTTTCTTTCTGCTTGTACGATTTAAAATTTACTGTACTTTTACACGCTACAGCTTGATACATTACAAAATAAACAATGTTTTATTTTTGTAGTATCAAGTGACGGGACGAACAAGTCATGCGCCTGACGGTAAGCTACACTCCTGTCCATAACAGTTGCAAACCACTAAGAGCTTTAAATCGCAAAGATCCGAGTGGCATTGCCTCTGCGCCCGTTACCCTGAGATTTAAGTTGACAAGTCCAATGTAGAGTCATGTGGGTCAAGTGTGCGCAGCGTCTAAGTGTGCGCATTCTAAATATCTCGAAAAATATATATCGCGAAGGAACGGCAACCCCCCTCTTCAGTACCCCGCAAGACGTCTTGCGAAGCGCTCGTATTATAGCGGCTGTTCCCGCGCCATTTTGGATTGAGAGGTAAATGAAGATTTTTGTTAAAATATTTACGATTTTTTGTCACATTTGACCTGTAATCTTTTGTAGTCATGTAATTTTTTTGAAAATATGCTTTTTGCTATCGAGTTCAATATAATATCAAGTTTTTTATTTGCCAGTGTTTAAATTGTTATGATGACGATTGCGTCAACGTTATTGAATCAACGATATTCATACAATCCTGTTTCGATAGTTTGGGTTAAGTGTGCGCAGAAGCCTGTCGTGTAAGTGTGCGCGTACGCACACTTACCCCGCTTGCATTTTTTTGTGCATGATGTGTTGCTTTGTTTTGTTTCAGCGAACAAATATAAATCAAAATGCCTCGAAATTATCTGAGGAAAGCTCCGGATAGATGCATCGTCACAGATGAGCAACTGGAAGCCGCCAAATTATTAATTTCAAAGGGTGCCAGTAAAAGAAAAGCTGCATCTCAAGTTGGACTTAAGGAAAGTACTCTGCGAAAACGTTTAAAAGCTGGGAAGACAGCAACCAGCATGGGAAGATTTTCTTTGACTTTCACCAAGGAGCAAGAGACTGATATATACAATTATATTAAACAAAGTGATGATCTTTATTATGGTCTCACTATACAGAACCTCCAGAAGTTGATTTATGAGTATGCTGAAGTAAATAAAGTAACTCATAGATTCAACATATCCACAAAATTAGCTGGCCGAGACTGGGTATATGGATTTCTCAAAAGGTTCCCTCAATTGAAATTGCGACAGCCAGTCCCAACTAGTATTGCCAGAGCCATGGGATTCAACGAAACTCAAGTTACAACATTTTATAATAACTTGCAGAGCCTCTACAACAAATACAAATTTGTACCCAGCCGAATATATAATATGGATGAAAGTGGAGTGAATACTGTGCCAAAGAAAATTCCAAAAGTAATATCGGTGAAAGGAAAAAAGCTGGTGGGAAAAATCGTTTCTGCTGAAAGAGGCCAAACGATTACACTAGTTTGCGCAATGAGTGCAACTGGAAACTATGTTCCTCCGGCATTTATTTTTCCCCGGAAGAGAATGAAAGGTTATTTGCTTAATAATGCACCTGAAGGTAGTATTGGAATGGTTTCTGATTCAGGATTCATAAATACGGGTCTGTTTCTAGAATACCTACACCATTTCAAAGACAATGTTCAGCCAACCAAAGATAACCCCGTCTTGTTAATTTTAGACAACCATAGCAGCCACATCTCACTGAATGCTATACTGTATTGTCGTGATAATGGTATTCACATGCTTACTCTCCCACCTCATAGTAGCCACAAGATGCAGCCTTTAGATCGTGGGTTTTTTGGGCCTCTGAAAACGAAATTCGCTTACGCATGTGATAAATGGCTAAGCCACCATCCAGGCCGCGTGATTGGACAAACAGAAATCGCTCAATTGGTGAATGAGGCTTTTCAAAAAGCAGCTTCGCTTAGCAATGCGGTTTCAGGTTTCAAAGTTTCTGGAATCTGGCCAATAGACACAGACATTTTTTCGGAAGAAGATTTCGCGGCAGCGTCTGTAACTGACATGATTCCTACACAACATGTAGAAGAGGTGTTGCCAACTATAGCAGCACCTTTCCAAGAAGATCCATCATGCGCAGAGCACTTGACAAACTTAGTAGCGTCCACCTCTTCTACACATACATTGACATCATTCAATACTGACACGCAAACTCCACTAGACTTCTTAGAGATCGCTCAATCGTGTCCAGTGGCTAACACCAGTTCAGCCACCACTGCATCTTCACCAACACCTGTAGCTTCAACCAGCAAAGAATTCATACCATTGTCGTCTATACAAGCACTACCGAAAGCTATGTCACAAAATCGACGACGAAAAGGCAAAAAGTCAATAATTGCTACTGATAGTCCCTATAAGTCTGAGTTAGAAGCTAAGAAAGAAGAGGAGGAAGAGAAATTAGCCAAGAAGAAAATTCGATTAGATTTAAAAGAAAGACTTAAAACTAAGAAAACTAGTACAAAATCACCTGAGACTGCCAAAAAAAAGAAAGTTGTAAATAAGACTCTTAAGAAACCAAAACAGGACGAAAATGAGTATTTCTGTCCCTTATGTGGTGAAAAGTATTCTGATCCGCCGACTGAAGATTGGGTTGAATGTAGCCTTTGTGGAGCCTGGTGGCATGAACAGTGCTCCAGCTCCGAACACGGCACTTTTATTTGTGATACATGTACGACGAAGTAACTAAAGATTTATAAGTTCTAGTTGATCTCATATTTTAATTTAAGACGATTATTATGTTCTAAAATTTATATATTTTTGTTGTTGCGTACACTTACCCAACAGTGCGTACACTTACCCACAGTGCTGCGTACACATACCCGTTACTGGGGTAAAAGTGCGCATATGAAAGGGTTTTCATTTTCTATAGTTTCTTAAAATATAAGCCATTGATAATAGTATTGTTGTGTCTAAGTTTATTACAAATAAACAGCCTTATACTAATTAAAACAGTTTTGTTTCATTCTACTTATAATTTTCGAGTTTTTGAAGCATCAAACTTTAAATGCGTACACTTGACCCACATGACTCTACCTGTAATTTCACCAGTACCCTAACCCTTCTAATCCGGAACGCAGTAATGCTAACATTACTGTTTGACGGCAGAAATAGGTAAGGTGGCAACTCTTTCACAAGGAGCTCCACTGCTGTAAACAAAATGTATTGAAAAAACAACACTTGAAGTTAACAATCCAATATTCAATGTTGACGACCTCCGTGGTCCAACAGTTTTACATTGTGGATGCTGATAAGGAGGTCCTAGTTTCGATTTCTGGTAGGATCAATTTGGGTAATGACGTTTCTAAATTAATTCCAATGTGGGTGGTCAGAGCAATGGAGTGAAATTCCTATTTTGATGGCAGGTAATCGGTGTGACCATTAAGGCACAAAGAATAATATGAAAAAGGCCAAAAGGTCAATTGTGCTTTTAAAGAACGCCCGTCAATTATTTTGCTTTGCACTCATATACTTTTAAGGGACAAAGGGACAATATGAAAAAAGCACAAAGGACAAATGTATAATAAGTCATAAAGGAAAACTCGCCGGAAAAAGTTTAATAGACACTTGTTACGAGAGCACCTTTCTTTTACAAGATTCAGGTTTACGTTTTGTTTATCGTTGGTGTACAATTTCAAACAGATGTCCGAAAAACGGTAAAAGTAGCCCAGTGGGAGAACCGTGAGTTTTCGATTGAGGTCAACAATCCCCGTGGCACGTATGCCCAATTTTCAGCAGCAGGATAATTCCGTAGCGCATGTAACACCTGTTACTTTGATTTAAATTTAGAAATTCGGCAGGGTAATGGAGTAATGCGAAAGACAGTATTTAACGTGTCTCTAATCGGCATTAGATCAAGATGGCGGACCGTTGGGCTAAACCCCTTAGTAGAAACCTAGCAGCGGGACGTGAATTGATGATAATGACATTTGTGAGAGACGAGTCCGTACCAGATAGGCCTGTATTATAGTTTACCAAGCTCTCACCCTTTCGGACAATTCTTCAATTACACTGAAAATGTTAATATTGAAAGGTAAATGGTTCAGTTTATAATAATATAAACAAAGTAAGGAGACGTCTTGTGCGGGGCGTTGTGTGAGATGTGCCTATGCGTGTGGCGTTGTGCGTGCGTGTGTGTATGCGCGGTTCCAGAATTGTCAAATTTTTTGTCAACCAATTAGACATAATAATGATAACTTCTACTCAAAAAACAAAAGAAGCTCTGTACAAGGCTACTATTTGAGGAGAAATTACGTATAAACAGCTATAAAATAACAAAATAAGTATACAATCATTTCAATGAAAGTAAAGTGCTAAACCACAAACGGCGACAGTGATGGTTCCTAAAGGACCAGCCAGACACAATCTATTACGAGCGGTTGACTTGCAAACGCTTTTCAGGGAATTGCTTACCCGACTATAAATGAAATGGAAACTTGCAACATGACTTCAGACCTCAAATGTTTACACCATCATAAATTAGCAAATAGTATTACACCGTACAATGATATGCCAAAAAAACATATAAACCAATATTAATTGGGCTGTTGAGTAGCGGCAATTTTGAGTAATTAATGCAGTGGTTTAAAACTCTTCATTGGGCTTAAGTTCATAAGACCTCACACAGAACAATAAATACAGTACAAGTGCTAAGTTTGCGTGGCACGTGTAGTAGATCATCAAACGATTTGTTAAGTGTCATGCGTTTATCTAGAATGTTTATATTTCTTTGTCTTGTATATTTTTCCTATATAAAATGTTCACATCTGCAATAAAAAATCACTTAATTCAAAATGTAACATTCTTGGAACACGTATGACGTGGTTTGGAGGATGGAAAAAAAATATAACTAATTATTTAGCAACCAGCGAAATGGTATGTTTTTAACATTGACTTACAATTATATGGACGTCGGGTCCGCGCTAAAAAGTGTCCGAACTTATAGGGCGTTAAAATCGTATACAGAGCGTCATTCACGCTTTAGTCTTCGTTTGTTCGACTGACAGCGAAGCAAGCAAAATTAGACAGTACTGCGATGACATTACAATTTAAATTCAACGTTTTAGCTTTTTCATATTCCGTTACATGTCACTACGTATAAATAAGTTGACTTGGGACATTTTTTTCGTGGTTTTTGTATTAGACCCGTCGTCCATTTATTTGTAAGTCAATGGTTTTTAAAAACTATTTATTCTCAATGTTCCAAAGAATATTTTTGGAATTACGTCTCTTTATTAGCGAGATTGAGATTGTATCAGTCAGATTAAATTTGTTTTTGATTTATTTAATTTTTTTTTAATATACTTCTTTTTCTTTATCTAATAGGTAAATCATCTCATCATCACCATTGTTAATCCATTATACATTCCACGCTACTTATAGTTTACAAATAATATCAAACACACGATCTGATGTTGCCAAAAACAACAGCAGCAGTTTACATAAATTAAACCGTTTGTCGTTTGTCGTCTACTCGGGCAGAGATAAATTAGCGGTCGAGAAAAGTAATTATTATTTGCACAAATGGGTGATTTTGGGGATCTTCAACTTTAGAGCTCGGAGTTATAAGAAAGTTTAATTAATGGTCGGTTATATTTTATGATTTTGTTTTCTTTCTTCTTTTGGTATAAAATTTTTAATCGCTTCCTCACTGCTGAGGATCATGACTCCTCTTCATCCTGCCAACCATTTGCCTCCATCGTTTGCACTCTCGCATGATATAATGCGACGCTGACAGGTAGCTCCAGTTGTTCGGAGATCTGATCCGACCACCATTTGGGACTCCTGCCCATAGGTCTCTTTCCCTACAACTTCCCTGTCATCATCAAACGTTCCAGATGATCAGTATCTCTACGTTTCACGTGACCAAAATAGCGTATCACACGCTGCATGTAAGTTGAAGACAGACGCTGTGCATTCTTTATCTTCTGCGCCAGCACCACATTTCGAAGGCGTCAATTCTTTGCCTGTACCGACAGGCATAGAATTGACATTCAGTTGTTTCTGCACTATACGGATAGATGGAGAAGACAAGAGTGCGAATTAGATGTATTTAGTTCGGTATCTGATAATCCTGTTCCTCCATATATTGCTCAGTTGAGTCATTGCTGTCTTTGCCATCCCAATTCGCCTTCGTATTTCAGGATCATAATTTTTTTTTATACATCTGACAATACTCGACAGATTTCTTAGAAGTGTTAAGAAGCGAAAGTTACAAAATACAAATAATACAAAATAATTTATTTTACAAATGAACTTGTGCAGGTACATTACAATTTAGTTACGACAAAGAACCAGGTAGCACAACTCAATTGTAGCATATATCGCGTACAGAGAATTTCCTACGACTCCTGCACTAGGCAAAGCCTGTCTCGCAGGTAATCGATAAAAACATTGTTATTGTTAAGAGAATAGCGCCAAAGCAAGGAGAATTTTGTTAAAAAAAAATTGTTTTTTTTTTTGAAATATTGTACATATTATGATCAAAAATTATTATTATTATATAATACATTATTTTATTTTATCTTATCATATTTTTATATTATTATATTAGATTATAATGTATAATATTCATTATATTTTTAATTCAATACCAATTACCTTATATACATATACATTTATATAGGATGAGTGTGTGTCTTTATGGCATTGTGTGTGTGTATGTGTGTGTGCGTAAGTGCGAGGGTGCGTGCGTGCGTGTGTGTGTGCGTGCGTGCGTGCATGTGAGTCGGTGGGTGTGTGCGTGCGTGCACGTGTATGGATTAAGGATTGAGACAGTGAACTAGCGCACCTCCTTTAGCAAGTCCTCTATTTCATTGTATGTCAACGTGCGTAGCAACTTATTGACCCTATGCTTAAGTTCCGAATTTGAGCAGAGCTTGACGCTGTACAAGGTGTTAACTCTATTGTATATATACGGATGCATGAATTTTGGAAATCTTCTAGCGAAGGTGGAGTTTATAGCTGGTAGATGAAGTTTAAAAAGTCTATTTTCGAGTAACTTACAGTAATTAGGAGAAGAAGTCACTTCACGATGCACCAGAACCATAACTCCGAGTAGAAAGAGACCGCGAACCGGTAGGACCCCACACTCCTCGTATAGAGCAGTAGTTGAATATTTGATGGGTTTTTTCATCATTACTTTCAGAACGGATCGTTGTGCCCTCTCAATCAACATCATGTTTTGCTTTCCAGCGCCACCCCAAACAGTGATACAATAGGTAATAATGGATTGGCTTAGAGCCTTGTATATCATCCCCAGTAATTTTATGTCGGCCGCCACACGGAGATTCCTACAAAAGTATATTAATTTACGTACTCTTTTGGCGGTAGCAACTAAGTGGTCTCCGAAAGTGAGCCTCTGATCTATAACTACGCCAAGATATTTTACATTTGCGGCCCGACATGCCCGACCATTGCGACCCGATGCTTTGACACTTTGTTGTTGAAAGAAAGAAATGTAGGTGAAGACCTAGACAAAGTTATTTAGACTAAATTAGACAAGTTTTCCTCCTAACTACGAATTGCCATGGCCGATCTGCCCTTGGATGGAAGCCCTTAAATAAGCTTCGGACTCAGGTTAGTCGGAATGAGGACAATTTGTTCAGATGGGAATTTTCGGAGAGTTCTAAGCTAGATTGTTCTTGCGATTCAAACAATGGCCCATCTCACATCGAGCCCTAAGT